CAAGCGACTTTTTACACCCTGAGAGCGTGAAGAGTGAATCTTTATTATGTAATATCACATGGGACGGTGTCACCTGCCTCTCTATTTTATGCATATCTTCCTGCATAATTATAAAAATCAAGCTGTGTATTTGTGACCTAACCTGGCACCCAGTGGCTAGCTCACTGCTGGGAAGCACGATAGATTTAACTGTTCATCCAATGCAATTTCAAGCTACAGATGATTAGTGAGAAAAAAAATGAATGGAGAGAGAATTTATAAATGAATGACAAATGTTGAACTCCAGTATTTCGTTGAGTGCATGTATTGAGTCTAGTAGGCTACCATTACTATGGGTCCAGGAGGTTTATCAACCTATGTCAAATGCGTGTTTTAAAGCAAAATGTTATGGGAAGGTCATTATTCCTTTCTTCATAATGAAACTTGATGTGAAGAGGGAAATGTTCAAGTTTGAGATATATTTTCAAAGTTTGAATTCCTACTTTTATAATCTCAAAGCCACATTATCTTCTATAATAAAACAAACTTCTTCTTTTTCTGTAACTAGCAAATCTTAAATTGCCGTTCAGGTAGCGCAACAATTACCAAAAATATCCAAACTGCTTTAATGAAAACGAACTTCATCTTATTTTCAAAAGAACTGATAATATCAATATTTATCATGATATGAACCCGGAAGTAGACACAGCTTTGTCTTGGCTAAACCGTCCTTAGTAGGCGTACGGATAAAAAACAAACGAGCAGGGTGTAACTGTGAGTTAGTGTTAGAGTGTGTGTCTGCGTTGTGGTCTGGAACTGGGTCTGTGTTTGAGTGTGAAAGTCCGGGCCACATTTAACTTGGTAACTGGCCCAAACCATATTTTTATAGATTGTCGTAAAATCTCAGCTCTCCACATCACATGTGGACATGATATACTAATCCATCAGACGAATACCTGATGTAACCACTATTTCCCCAGGAACATGTATGCGGTGGTGGTGGTACAACTAACGATCTATGACCCATGTATGACCCCCTTCCAGCCCTACCTGCCCACACCCATCAACAAAACTCCACCACCGGAGTTGAACATTCATCTGGCCTCAAAGCACAATGATTTTCCTTCTTTGCTATCTGCAGTGACATGTCAACCCACATTAATTAATATCGTTCATAGGCTGTTCTTCTGTTGCATGACTAACCTGTCACTTACAACTTACACCGCAAACTACCAGCCTGGGTCCAGCAGCTCGATTTCCAAATAACCACTGTCAACAATGGTCAGTGGAAGTATCGAGCCTAAACACACAGATCGACCTTTAAACTGGGGGTCAAATCATGGAAAGCTGGAGTCAATATCATGTACTCATTTGGGATCAAAACAAATTATCAAGAGAATACAATGTCGAATCTCATGTCAAGCAAAACATATCTGGCCCAGACTCAACAAACCATCGAACAGAGCACTACGTTCTCCTCTTTACCTTCCGGGTCATGGTAAAACTTAAGGGACGTAACTGTGGTCTGAGGCCATCTGAGAGGGAATCTGCTTCCTTGAAGATTCATATTGCGCTGGATTCTTGAAAAGAACAAACAAATTTGGACTTGTTTTTTTGTGTAGGCTTTTCTAGAAATCTTGTTGTTTTCTTAGACATCTTCTCTACCTTATAAGGCCTTAATGTTATCATCACCCCATGGGTGCATTGAGTCACACGTGTCACTGTTTTAGTTTGAACATTCGCACGGCTGTAATTATAAAGTAGGTGGGCGTTTAGAGGCCGTAATGACAGTATGATACTAAAAGGGGACTCCGTGCATTTTCGGACAGAAATTGTCCACTTTCCGCATTTTCGGACAGAAATTGTCCACTTGCTTGGTTCAACATGTTTATAGGTTTACTCATCTGCCTTCGAGCTTCAGGACCTTTGTGGACAATGATTCTAATGTGACAATCACTGTGAAGGACATTGAAACGTAAGCAGTGGAACTACAATTAACTACTTTTATAACGAACACGCTTATAACGAACTGACGGATATAAAGTATTGCCCTTAGGTCCCGGACTTTTGCTACATATATCCTGTATATGTGCTTATAATGAACTACGGTTATAACGAACTAAAATATGTGGTCCCTTTGAGTTCGTTATGACCGTGGTTTACTGTGGCTGATACTATCTTGAATTTGGTTGTACTTGAAGAAAATATAAGCCAAGAGAAAATTACAATATACATGGCAGTTTTATTTGTGCTCGTTGAGGAATATACAGCTTTGGTCGATGCAGCATGGCGAGTGGAATCGACAAACATGATATCAAATGTCCAGCATTTGATGTGAATATGATGATACTTGAATGTTTTAACCGTGGTGTCCGCCTCCATGACCACCACCTCCATGGCCACCTCCGTGACCGCCACCGTGGCCTCCTCCATGACCTCCACCGTGACCTCCTCCATGACCTCCTCCATGGCCGCCACCTCCGTGTCCTCCGCCATGACCTCCTTTGCCGCCACCGTGGCCGCCACCTCCATGGCCGCCTCCTCCGTGTCCTTTGCCACCTCCGTGGCCACCTCCTCCGTGTCCTTTGCCACCTCCGTGGCCACCTCCTCCGTGTCCTTTGCCACCTCCGTGACCACCTCCATGACCACCTCCGTGACCACCACCATGACCTCCTCCATGGCCGCCGCCTCCATGACCACCACCGTGGCCTCCACCTCCATGACCACCACCACCATGGCCACCAAGGACGGAGCCAAGGAAGACTGTAAAGAATGTGAAGAAAAAACAATGCATAAGTGGTCATAGATGACAGGATGCATACATACAAAATCCGTCTACCAATCCTAATAAATGTTTACATCATGGTAGAAACTATCCTGATCATAACGTTGTCAGTATTATCGTAAAGCCATTTAAAACTCAGCAATAGCTCATAAAGTTGATTATTAGAAAGCTTGGGAATGCGAATTCGGATAAGATAAGGCAAACGTACCCAAGACTACAACAACTGCAACATTAAGAAGGCGCATCCTGCCAGTTACGTTTATCCACTTGAGAATAAACGATTTGAATGTCGCTATTGTGATTCACCACACCTTATATACTTGTGGTTCAGGAAATCAGGATGTTGAATGTAAATGCCCTCATTGGAAGATTTTCGAAAAGAAAATTCCAAGCGACTTTTTACACCCTGAGAGCGTGAAGAGTGAATCTTTATTATGTAATATCACATGGGACGGTGTCACCTGCCTCTCTATTTTATGCATATCTTCCTGCATAATTATAAAAATCAAGCTGTGTATTTGTGACCTAACCTGGCACCCAGTGGCTAGCTCACTGCTGGGAAGCATGATAGATTTAACTGTTCATCCAATGCAATTTCAAGCTACAGATGATTAGTGAGAAAAAAAATGAATGGAGAGAGAATTTATAAATGAATGACAAATGTTGAACTCCAGTATTTCGTTGAGTGCATGTATTGAGTCTAGTAGGCTGCCATTACTATGGGTCCAGGAGGTTTATCAACCTATGTCAAATGCGTGTTTTAAAGCAAAATGTTATGGGAAGGTCATTATTCCTTTCTTCATAATGAAACTTGATGTGAAGAGGGAAATGTTCAAGTTTGAGATATATTTTCAAAGTTTGAATTCCTACTTTTATAATCTCAAAGCCACATTATCTTCTATAATAAAACAAACTTCTTCTTTTTCTGTAACTAGCAAATCTTAAATTGCCGTTCAGGTAGCGCAACAATTACCAAAAATATCCAAACTGCTTTAATGAAAACGAACTTCATCTTATTTTCAAAAGAACTGATAATATCAATATTTATCATGATAGGAACCCGGAAGTAGACACAGCTTTGTCTTGGCTAAACCGTCCTTAGTAGGCGTACGGATAAAAAACAAACGAGCAGGGTGTAACTGTGAGTTAGTGTTAGTGTGTGTGTCTGCGTTTTGGTCTGGAACTGGGTCTGTGTTTGAGTGTGAAAGTCCGGGCCACATTTAACTTGGTAACTGGCCCAAACCATATTTTTATAGATTGTCGTAAAATCTCAGCTCTCCACATCACATGTGGACATGATATACTAATCCATCAGACGAATACCTGATGTAACCACTATTTCCCCAGGAACATGTATGCGGTGGTGGTGGTACAACTAACGATCTATGACCCATGTATGACCCCCTTCCAGCCTTACCTGCCCACACCCATCAACAAAACTCCACCACCGGAGTTGAACATTCATCTGGCCTCAAAGCACAATGATTTTCCTTCTTTGCTATCTGCAGTGACATGTCAACCCACATTAATTAATATCGTTCATAGGCTGTTCTTCTGTTGCACGACTAACCTGTCACTTATAACTTACACCGCAAACTACCAGCCTGGGTCCAGCAGCTCGATTTCCAAGTAACCACTGTCAACAATGGTCAGTGGAAGTATCGAGCCTAAACACACAGATCGACCTTTAAACTGGGGGTAAATCATGGAAAGCTGGAGTCAATATCATGTACTCATTTGGGATCAAAACAAATTATCAAGAAAATACAATGTCGAATCTCATGTCAAGCAAAACATATCTGGCCCAGACTCAACAAACCATCGAACAGAGCACTACATTCTCCTCTTTACCTTCCGGATCATGGTAAAACTTAAGGGACGTAACTGTGGTCTGAGGCCATCTGAGAGGGAATCTGCTTCCTTGAAGATTCATATTGCGCTGGATTCTTGAAAAGAACAAACAAATTTGGACTTGTTTTTTTGTGTGGGCTTTTCTAGAAATCTTGTTGTTTTATTGGACATCTGCTCTACCTTATAAGGCCTTAATGTTATCATCACCCCATGGGTGCACTGAGTCACACGTGTCACTTTTTTAGTTTGAACTTTCGCACGGCTGTAATTATAAAGTAGGTGGGCGTTTAGAGGCCGTAATGACAGTATGATACTAAAAGGGGACTCCGTGCATTTTCGGACAGAAATTGTCCACTTGCTTGGTTCAACATGTTTATAGGTTTACTCATCTGCCTTCGAGCTTCAGGACCTTTGTGGACAATGATTCTAATGTGACAATCACTGTGAAGGACATTGAAACGTAAGCAGTGGAACTACAATTAACTACTTTTATAACAAACACGCTTATAACGAACTGACGGATATAAAGTATTGCCCTTAGGTCCCGGACTTTTGCTACATATATCCTGTATATGTGCTTATAATGAACTACGGTTATAACGAACTAAAATATGTGGTCCCTTTGAGTTCGTTATGACCGTGGTTTACTGTGGCTGATACTATCTTGAATTTGGTTGTACTTGAAGAAAATATAAGCCAAGAGAAAATTACAATATACATGGCAGTTTTATTTGTGCCCGTTGAGGAATATACAGCTTTGGTCGATGCAGCATGGCGAGTGGAATCGACAAACATGATATCAAATGTCCAGCATTTGATGTGAATATGATGATACTTGAATGTTTTAACCGTGGTGTCCGCCTCCATGACCACCACCTCCATGGCCACCTCCGTGACCGCCACCGTGGCCTCCTCCATGACCTCCACCGTGACCTCCTCCATGACCTCCTCCATGGCCGCCACCTCCGTGTCCTTCGCCATGACCTCCTTTGCCGCCACCGTGGCCGCCACCTCCATGGCCGCCTCCTCCGTGTCCTTTGCCACCTCCGTGGCCACCTCCTCCGTGTCCTTTGCCACCTCCGTGACCACCTCCATGACCACCTCCGTGACCACCACCATGACCTCCTCCATGGCCGCCGCCTCCATGACCACCACCGTGGCCTCCACCTCCATGACCACCACCACCATGGCCACCAAGGACGGAGCCAAGGAAGACTGTAAAGAATGTGAAGAAAAAACAATGCATAAGTGGTCATAGATGACAGGATGCATACATACAAAATCCGTCTACCAATCCTAATAAATGTTTACATCATGGTAGAAACTATCCTGATCATAACGTTGTCAGTATTATCGTAAAGCCATTTAAAACTCAGCAATAGCTCATAAAGTTGATTATTAGAAAGCTTGGGAATGCGAATTCGCATCAGATAAGGCAAACGTACCCAAGACTACAACAACTGCAACATTAAGAAGGCGCATCCTGCCAGTTACGTTTATCCACTTGAGAATAAACGATTTGAATGTCGCTATTGTGATTCACCACACCTTATATACTTGTGGTTCAGGAAATCAGGATGTTGAATGTAAATGCCCTCATTGGAAGATTTTCGAAAAGAAAATTCCAAGCGACTTTTTACACCCTGAGAGCGTGAAGAGTGAATCTTTATTATGTAATATCACATGGGACGGTGTCACCTGCCTCTCTATTTTATGCATATCTTCCTGCATAATTATAAAAATCAAGCTGTGTATTTGTGACCTAACCTGGCACCCAGTGGCTAGCTCACTGCTGGGAAGCATGATAGATTTAACTGTTCATCCAATGCAATTTCAAGCTACAGATGATTAGTGAGAAAAAAAATGAATGGAGAGAGAATTTATAAATGAATGACAAATGTTGAACTCCAGTATTTCGTTGAGTGCATGTATTGAGTCTAGTAGGCTACCATTACTATGGGTCCAGGAGGTTTATCAACCTATGTCAAATGCGTGTTTTAAAGCAAAATGTTATGGGAAGGTCATTATTCCTTTCTTCATAATGAAACTTGATGTGAAGAGGGAAATGTTCAAGTTTGAGATATATTTTCAAAGTTTGAATTCCTACTTTTATAATCTCAAAGCCACATTATCTTCTATAATAAAACAAACTTCTTCTTTTTCTGTAACTAGCACATCTTAAATTGCCGTTCAGGTAGCGCAACAATTACCAAAAATATCCAAACTGCTTTAATGAAAACGAACTTCATCTTATTTTCAAAAGAACTGATAATTTCAATATTTATCATGATATGAACCCGGAAGTAGACACAGCTTTGTCTTGGCTAAACCGTCCTTAGTAGGCGTACGGATAAAAAACAAACGAGCAGGGTGTAACTGTGAGTTAGTGTTAGAGTGTGTGTCTGCGTTGTGGTCTGGAACTGGGTCTGTGTTTGAGTGTGAAAGTCCGGGCCACATTTAACTTGGTAACTGGCCCAAACCATATTTTTATAGATTGTCGTAAAATCTCAGCTCTCCACATCACATGTGGACATGATATACTAATCCATCAGACGAATACCTGATGTAACCACTATTTCCCCAGGAACATGTATGCGGTGGTGGTGGTACAACTAACGATCTATGACCCATGTATGACCCCCTTCCAGCCTTACCTGCCCACACCCATCAACAAAACTCCACCACCGGAGTTGAACATTCATCTGGCCTCAAAGCACAATGATTTTCCTTCTTTGCTATCTGCAGTGACATGTCAACCCACATTAATTAATATCGTTCATAGGCTGTTCTTCTGTTGCATGACTAACCTGTCACTTATAACTTACACCGCAAACTACCAGCCTGGGTCCAGCAGCTCGATTTCCAAATAACCACTGTCAACAATGGTCAGTGGAAGTATCGAGCCTAAACACACAGATCGACCTTTAAACTGGGGGTAAATCATGGAAAGCTGGAGTCAATATCATGTACTCATTTGGGATCAAAACAAATTATCAAGAAAATACAATGTCGAATCTCATGTCAAGCAAAACATATCTGGCCCAGACTCAACAAACCATCGAACAGAGCACTACATTCTCCTCTTTACCTTCCGGATCATGGTAAAACTTAAGGGACGTAACTGTGGTCTGAGGCCATCTGAGAGGGAATCTGCTTCCTTGAAGATTCATATTGCGCTGGATTCTTGAAAAGAACAAACAAATTTGGACTTGTTTTTTTGTGTGGGCTTTTCTAGAAATCTTGTTGTTTTATTGGACATCTGCTCTACCTTATAAGGCCTTAATGTTATCATCACCCCATGGGTGCATTGAGTCACACGTGTCACTTTTTTAGTTTGACCATTCGCACGGCTGTAATTATAAAGTAGGTGGGCGTTTAGAGGCCGTAATGACAGTATGATACTAAAAGGGGACTCCGTGCATTTTCGGACAGAAATTGTCCACTTGCTTGGTTCAACATGTTTATAGGTTTACTCATCTGCCTTCGAGCTTCAGGACCTTTGTGGACAATGATTCTAATGTGACAATCACTGTGAAGGACATTGAAACGTAAGCAGTGGAACTACAATTAACTACTTTTATAACAAACACGCTTATAACGAACTGACGGATATAAAGTATTGCCCTTAGGTCCCGGACTTTTGCTACATATATCCTGTATATGTGCTTATAATGAACTACGGTTATAACGAACTAAAATATGTGGTCCCTTTGAGTTCGTTATGACCGTGGTTTACTGTGGCTGATACTATCTTGAATTTGGTTGTACTTGAAGAAAATATAAGCCAAGAGAAAATTACAATATACATGGCAGTTTTATTTGTGCCCGTTGAGGAATATACAGCTTTGGTCGATGCAGCATGGCGAGTGGAATCGACAAACATGATATCAAATGTCCAGCATTTGATGTGAATATGATGATACTTGAATGTTTAACCGTGGTGTCCGCCTCCATGACCACCACCTCCATGGCCACCTCCGTGACCGCCACCGTGGCCTCCTCCATGACCTCCACCGTGACCTCCTCCATGACCTCCTCCATGGCCGCCACCTCCGTGTCCTCCGCCATGACCTCCTTTGCCGCCACCGTGGCCGCCACCTCCATGGCCGCCTCCTCCGTGTCCTTTGCCACCTCCGTGGCCACCTCCTCCGTGTCCTTTGCCACCTCCGTGACCACCTCCATGACCACCTCCGTGACCACCACCATGACCTCCTCCATGGCCGCCGCCTCCATGACCACCACCGTGGCCTCCACCTCCATGACCACCACCACCATGGCCACCAAGGACGGAGCCAAGGAAGACTGTAAAGAATGTGAAGAAAAAACAATGCATAAGTGGTCATAGATGACAGGATGCATACATACAAAATCCGTCTACCAATCCTAATAAATGTTTACATCATGGTAGAAACTATCCTGATCATAACGTTGTCAGTATTATCGTAAAGCCATTTAAAACTCAGCAATAGCTCATAAAGTTGATTATTAGAAAGCTTGGGAATGCGAATTCGCATCAGATAAGGCAAACGTACCCAAGACTACAACAACTGCAACATTAAGAAGGCGCATCCTGCCAGTTACGTTTATCCACTTGAGAATAAACGATTTGAATGTCGCTATTGTGATTCACCACACCTTATATACTTGTGGTTCAGGAAATCAGGATGTTGAATGTAAATGCCCTCATTGGAAGATTTTCGAAAAGAAAATTCCAAGCGACTTTTTACACCCTGAGAGCGTGAAGAGTGAATCTTTATTATGTAATATCACATGGGACGGTGTCACCTGCCTCTCTATTTTATGCATATCTTCCTGCATAATTATAAAAATCAAGCTGTGTATTTGTGACCTAACCTGGCACCCAGTGGCTAGCTCACTGCTGGGAAGCACGATAGATTTAACTGTTCATCCAATGCAATTTCAAGCTACAGATGATTAGTGAGAGAAAAAATGAATGGAGAGAGAATTTATAAATGAATGACAAATGTTGAACTCCAGTATTTCGTTGAGTGCATGTATTGAGTCTAGTAGGCTACCATTACTATGGGTCCAGGAGGTTTATCAACCTATGTCAAATGCGTGTTTTAAAGCAAAATGTTATGGGAAGGTCATTATTCCTTTCTTCATAATGAAACTTGATGTGAAGAGGGAAATGTTCAAGTTTGAGATATATTTTCAAAGTTTGAATTCCTACTTTTATAATCTCAAAGCCACATTATCTTCTATAATAAAACAAACTTCTTCTTTTTCTGTAACTAGCAAATCTTAAATTGCCGTTCAGGTAGCGCAACAATTACCAAAAATATCCAAACTGCTTTAATGAAAACGAACTTCATCTTATTTTCAAAAGAACTGATAATATCAATATTTATCATGATATGAACCCGGAAGTAGACACAGCTTTGTCTTGGCTAAACCGTCCTTAGTAGGCGTACGGATAAAAAACAAACGAGCAGGGTGTAACTGTGAGTTAGTGTTAGAGTGTGTGTCTGCGTTGTGGTCTGGAACTGGGTCTGTGTTTGAGTGTGAAAGTCCGGGCCACATTTAACTTGGTAACTGGCCCAAACCATATTTTTATAGATTGTCGTAAAATCTCAGCTCTCCACATCACATGTGGACATGATATACTAATCCATCAGACGAATACCTGATGTAACCACTATTTCCCCAGGAACATGTATGCGGTGGTGGTGGTACAACTAACGATCTATGACCCATGTATGACCCCCTTCCAGCCCTACCTGCCCACACCCATCAACAAAACTCCACCACCGGAGTTGAACATTCATCTGGCCTCAAAGCACAATGATTTTCCTTCTTTGCTATCTGCAGTGACATGTCAACCCACATTAATTAATATCGTTCATAGGCTGTTCTTCTGTTGCATGACTAACCTGTCACTTACAACTTACACCGCAAACTACCAGCCTGGGTCCAGCAGCTCGATTTCCAAATAACCACTGTCAACAATGGTCAGTGGAAGTATCGAGCCTAAACACACAGATCGACCTTTAAACTGGGGGTCAAATCATGGAAAGCTGGAGTCAATATCATGTACTCATTTGGGATCAAAACAAATTATCAAGAGAATACAATGTCGAATCTCATGTCAAGCAAAACATATCTGGCCCAGACTCAACAAACCATCGAACAGAGCACTACATTCTCCTCTTTACCTTCCGGATCATGGTAAAACTTAAGGGACGTAACTGTGGTCTGAGGCCATCTGAGAGGGAATCTGCTTCCTTGAAGATTCATATTGCGCTGGATTCTTGAAAAGAACAAACAAATTTGGACTTGTTTTTTTGTGTGGGCTTTTCTAGAAATCTTGTTGTTTTCTTAGACATCTTCTCTACCTTATAAGGCCTTAATGTTATCATCACCCCATGGGTGCATTGAGTCACACGTGTCACTGTTTTAGTTTGAACATTCGCACGGCTGTAATTATAAAGTAGGTGGGCGTTTAGAGGCCGTAATGACAGTATGATACTAAAAGGGGACTCCGTGCATTTTCGGACAGAAATTGTCCACTTTCCGTATTTTCGGACAGAAATTGTCCACTTGCTTGGTTCAACATGTTTATAGGTTTACTCATCTGCCTTCGAGCTTCAGGACCTTTGTGGACAATGATTCTAATGTGACAATCACTGTGAAGGACATTGAAACGTAAGCAGTGGAACTACAATTAACTACTTTTATAACAAACACGCTTATAACGAACTGACGGATATAAAGTATTGCCCTTAGGTCCCGGACTTTTGCTACATATATCCTGTATATGTGCTTATAATGAACTACGGTTATAACGAACTAAAATATGTGGTCCCTTTGAGTTCGTTATGACCGTGGTTTACTGTGGCTGATACTATCTTGAATTTGGTTGTACTTGAAGAAAATATAAGCCAAGAGAAAATTACAATATACATGGCAGTTTTATTTGTGCTCGTTGAGGAATATACAGCTTTGGTCGATGCAGCATGGCGAGTGGAATCGACAAACATGATATCAAATGTCCAGCATTTGATGTGAATATGATGATACTTGAATGTTTTAACCGTGGTGTCCGCCTCCATGACCACCACCTCCATGGCCACCTCCGTGACCGCCACCGTGGCCTCCTCCATGACCTCCACCGTGACCTCCTCCATGACCTCCTCCATGGCCGCCACCTCCGTGTCCTCCGCCATGACCTCCTTTGCCGCCACCGTGGCCGCCACCTCCATGGCCGCCTCCTCCGTGTCCTTTGCCACCTCCGTGGCCACCTCCTCCGTGTCCTTTGCCACCTCCGTGGCCACCTCCTCCGTGTCCTTTGCCACCTCCGTGACCACCTCCATGACCACCTCCGTGACCACCACCATGACCTCCTCCATGGCCGCCGCCTCCATGACCACCACCGTGGCCTCCACCTCCATGACCACCACCACCATGGCCACCAAGGACGGAGCCAAGGAAGACTGTAAAGAATGTGAAGAAAAAACAATGCATAAGTGGTCATAGATGACAGGATGCATACATACAAAATCCGTCTACCAATCCTAATAAATGTTTACATCATGGTAGAAACTATCCTGATCATAACGTTGTCAGTATTATCGTAAAGCCATTTAAAACTCAGCAATAGCTCATAAAGTTGATTATTAGAAAGCTTGGGAATGCGAATTCGGATAAGATAAGGCAAACGTACCCAAGACTACAACAACTGCAACATTAAGAAGGCGCATCCTGCCAGTTACGTTTATCCACTTGAGAATAAACGATTTGAATGTCGCTATTGTGATTCACCACACCTTATATACTTGTGGTTCAGGAAATCAGGATGTTGAATGTAAATGCCCTCATTGGAAGATTTTCGAAAAGAAAATTCCAAGCGACTTTTTACACCCTGAGAGCGTGAAGAGTGAATCTTTATTATGTAATATCACATGGGACGGTGTCACCTGCCTCTCTATTTTATGCATATCTTCCTGCATAATTATAAAAATCAAGCTGTGTATTTGTGACCTAACCTGGCACCCAGTGGCTAGCTCACTGCTGGGAAGCATGATAGATTTAACTGTTCATCCAATGCAATTTCAAGCTACAGATGATTAGTGAGAAAAAAAATAAATGGAGAGAGAATTTATAAATGAATGACAAATGTTGAACTCCAGTATTTCGTTGAGTGCATGTATTGAGTCTAGTAGGCTGCCATTACTATGGGTCCAGGAGGTTTATCAACCTATGTCAAATGCGTGTTTTAAAGCAAAATGTTATGGGAAGGTCATTATTCCTTTCTTCATAATGAAACTTGATGTGAAGAGGGAAATGTTCAAGTTTGAGATATATTTTCAAAGTTTGAATTCCTACTTTTATAATCTCAAAGCCACATTATCTTCTATAATAAAACAAACTTCTTCTTTTTCTGTAACTAGCAAATCTTAAATTGCCGTTCAGGTAGCGCAACAATTACCAAAAATATCCAAACTGCTTTAATGAAAACGAACTTCATCTTATTTTCAAAAGAACTGATAATATCAATATTTATCATGATAGGAACCCGGAAGTAGACACAGCTTTGTCTTGGCTAAACCGTCCTTAGTAGGCGTACGGATAAAAAACAAACGAGCAGGGTGTAACTGTGAGTTAGTGTTAGTGTGTGTGTCTGCGTTTTGGTCTGGAACTGGGTCTGTGTTTGAGTGTGAAAGTCCGGGCCACATTTAACTTGGTAACTGGCCCAAACCATATTTTTATAGATTGTCGTAAAATCTCAGCTCTCCACATCACATGTGGACATGATATACTAATCCATCAGACGAATACCTGATGTAACCACTATTTCCCCAGGAACATGTATGCGATGGTGGTGGTACAACTAACGATCTATGACCCATGTATGACCCCCTTCCAGCCTTACCTGCCCACACCCATCAACAAAACTCCACCACCGGAGTTGAACATTCATCTGGCCTCAAAGCACAATGATTTTCCTTCTTTGCTATCTGCAGTGACATGTCAACCCACATTAATTAATATCGTTCATAGGCTGTTCTTCTGTTGCACGACTAACCTGTCACTTATAACTTACACCGCAAACTACCAGCCTGGGTCCAGCAGCTCGATTTCCAAGTAACCACTGTCAACAATGGTCAGTGGAAGTATCGAGCCTAAACACACAGATCGACCTTTAAACTGGGGGTAAATCATGGAAAGCTGGAGTCAATATCATGTACTCATTTGGGATCAAAACAAATTATCAAGAAAATACAATGTCGAATCTCATGTCAAGCAAAACATATCTGGCCCAGACTCAACAAACCATCGAACAGAGCACTACATTCTCCTCTTTACCTTCCGGATCATGGTAAAACTTAAGGGACGTAACTGTGGTCTGAGGCCATCTGAGAGGGAATCTGCTTCCTTGAAGATTCATATTGCGCTGGATTCTTGAAAAGAACAAACAAATTTGGACTTGTTTTTTTGTGTGGGCTTTTCTAGAAATCTTGTTGTTTTATTGGACATCTGCTCTACCTTATAAGGCCTTAATGTTATCATCACCCCATGGGTGCACTGAGTCACACGTGTCACTTTTTTAGTTTGAACTTTCGCACGGCTGTAATTATAAAGT